AAAAGACAAGGATCCTCCGTATAGCCTTAACATACTCTTGAGGCAAGTGCAACGCCCTGCCACCTTCGTCTCTCAACGGGCGATGTTTACACGTCGCACTTGGTACTCATTTGAGGCTGAGTCGACCTAGGGGACGCCGAGGATCGGCTCAGATAATCGTCACCCGTGTTGGCCCTGGGCGGGAATCTAACCCGGGTCGCCGCGTTCGTAGAGCAGCGCGCTAACCCCTGCGCCACTGCTCCCCACACACTTACCCGTATTTGCACACACGTGCAAGGCGCATGCACATACACACACGTGCAACATCTGCACACGTAAATACACGCATATACACTTATGAACAACAACAACACCCGCCACTAAGTGGCGGTGACGTCACCACGGCGCCTGTGCCAGGAGAGGTGCACTTTGAGGCCACGTGATGTGTCGCTGACAGGAGGTCATGGGACGGACCCAGCAGGTGCCATGGGTCGACTGAGATGACTGGCAGATGCACCACCAGCTGTGTCCCCGATTGTGCCAACTTGCTACATTTTAGCTGCCCGGCGCTCCGCTCGTTGTTGTGAGCGTCGCTCCTCCGCCCTCCGTTGTTGTTGCAGGACGACTGCCTCCAACTGCCCAGCAGCGTCCTTCACGAGCCTCCTCCACAGAGGCCGATCTTAACACCGCTGGTACCAGCCATCAAGCAAGTCCACTCGGCTCCACGTCCTCCTGTACCACATCACTCCATCTCTTCTCCAGCCTTTTCCGCGCCCGTTTAGCCCCCTCTATCCGGCCAAGCAGAGGCTATTGGCCATGCGGTGGCTGGGCAGACGGACGACATGGCACAGCCAACGCAGTCTTGCCTAACGGAGACGCTCACCGATGGGACACATATAAACACGCGTGTACACCCATGCATACATATAAACACACGTGTACAGCCATGCACACATATAAACACACGTGTACACCAATGCACACGTGTGTACTCGCACACACACACTTTAATACACATTTAAACACACACGTGGGTACACGTGCAACCACATACACACGTGTACACGCACGTACACACACAACACGTGCCAACAGCATTGCACACATGCACGCGCACGCATGCACGTACTGCATGGATATAAACACGTGCACACACACACATGTAAACACACGTGCGTAAGCACGCACACGTGCACAAGCAGTCAAGCATTGATCTCCCATCTGCTGCTGGAGTACGTGGCTCCTCCACTACTGGCTCCGGATCCGCCGAGGGTGTAGCCGTCGGAAATCCAGCTCCGCGTTTTGCGCGCGGCTCGCGGCGTCATGCGTTTGGAATGTGCGTCCGCAAAATCCGGAGTAAGTGGCGCACGCGCACGCACGGAGCATGGATTCCCGGTGCCTCCTGGCCCGTCACGGGGGACCTTAACAGGGCATGATGGTCGCGTGGCGTTTCGCGTCCATCTTTTGGCCAACCGACGACCAGAAATTGTGTACCGTCCAACTACACGTGGGGTTTGGCAGGGGTGGTCTGTATCCACTACCTAGTAGACATGCAAACCTTGGGCCAACGTCAACCAACGTTGCTGACCCAACGTTCGCATGTAGGGGTGGTGGATTGAATGGCTGTACACTTGTACAATCGTAAAGCCCTCGTTCCTTCAAACGACCTCCATCTCTGGCGTTTGTAATTCTTAAACACGGAGGTTCATTGTAGGTTCGCGATAGAGACCAGGTTGATAAACGTGTTGGGACAGATTAACTGCGCCGGTAATGCTGGTTTGGGGCATTGGCCAACGCTGATGTGTCTGCGTGTCTGTCACAGCACGTGTAACGCAAAGGCTGGCACGTACGCATAAGCACACAATCTCACTCACGCACTCGCACAAACCCATAAATACACAAACTCACGTATTCGCAAACACAAACTCACTCACGCGCACCTACATACTCACGGAGAACCATAAAATGCACGCAGGCGATTAACAACACGAACGCACAGAACAATACACGCTCACCTCCGCCACACACAGCCCTATGGTATAAAGACAAATATCCCCCATATAGCCTTAACATAATTTTGGGGAAAGTGCTGTTGACGACCACCTATGAATGCCGACACGGCACGCGAGGCGGTGGGTGGCCAGAACCACGCCCGGCCACCTTTGTCTCCCCAGTGGCGATGTTTACACACCGCACCAGGTACTCGTTTGAGGCGGAGTCGACCTAGGGGAGGCCCAGGACCGGTTCAGATATGTTGGCTGTGAGCGGGAATCGAACTGGGATGGATGGGTTCGTAGCGCAGCGCAATGAATTCCGCTTTGAGCCGCCACTCCCAGCACACAATATGACGGAAGCCGTCTCCTCCCCCCTGGCCCATCCACGCCCCCAAACACACACCCACAACACAAAGACAAAGACTCCCCGTGTAGCCTGAGCGCACCGTTGGGGGAAAGTGCGGTTAGCGAGCAGCTATGAAGGCCGTCACCGCGCACGAGGGGGTGGGTGACCAGCGCACAACGCCCGGCTTCCTTTGACTCCCCAGTGGCGATGTTTACACACCGCACCCAGGTATTCGTTTGAGGCTGAGTCGACCTAGATGAGTCCCAGGAACGGATCAGATAATCGTCACTGGGTGTTGGCCGTGAGCGGGAATCGACCTGGGGTGGCCGGGTTCGTAGGTCAGCGCACTAACGGTAGCACTACACACACACCGCCATACACAACAGCAGCAGTCACCATTCGCCGCTAAGTGGCGGTGACGTCCCCACAGCGCTGGGTGCAAGTTGAGGCCAGGTGAAGAAGTGTGGATGGCTCGGTGGTAGGTCACGGGACAGACCAAAGGTGTTGTGAGTTAAGCGACTGAAATGACTGACAGATGCACAACATGCGTGCTCCCCACTGTGCAAAATTTCAGAGTTTTAGTCGCCCGACGTTCTGCTTGTTGTTGTTTTTTTTGCGTCGCTCCTCCGCCCTCTTTTGTTGTTGGAGGGCGACTGCCTCCAACTGCCCAGCGGCGTCCGTCACGAGCCTCCACCACAGAGGCCGATCTTGACACCGCTGGTATCAGTCATCGGCAAGTTCACTCAGCTCTGCTCCTCCAGTACCACATCGGCCCATCTCTTCTCTAGCCAGTACCGAGTCCTACTCTTTGGTTTTATTCGGTAAAGTCACGTAGATAAAATAAAACAAAGTAAAAGAAATAATGAAATCACGACGTTTCGGAGGCTTGTGTTGCCTCCGAAACGTTGTGATTTAATTATTTTATTTTATTTCATCTACGTGACTTTACCGAATAAAACCAAAGCGTATGAATCCTTGCAGTCACGAAAGCTTCAAATCTATGTACCGAGCCCGTTTAGCTACACCTATCTGGCCAAACAGAAGCCAGATAGGCATGAGATGGTTGGGCATTCAGGTTGCATGACCCAGTCAACGCAGCCTTTCAAGCCGGAGTTCACTGATTGGATTGTGTCCACATCATTCAAGGATCCTAACACAATCCAGTCTCTGGTTAAACTCAAGACCGTAGGCAGGCCAACCTGAATGTTTAAAACTGACACAGATGTTTCTTTAAAGGGGTCCACGTTTCACAAGCATAAATATGGGAAAGAATAACTGGCAAATACGCTTCGTATGGAGCAACAGGCCAGGTCGCTCCACACATGATTACGTAACTGATGAAAAAGATAATGCCGCTTGAATGATTTGGAGTGAGACCACTGCCAAATTGGAGCTACTTTTCATCACACTGCACGGACATAGAAACTCCTACACTATCTCCAAAACTGCCCCATCGCTCATGGGAGAGTTGATGGAGGGGAAGTATTTGATGACATAAAATTCAGAGGCAGGTACTCTACATTGTTTTGTGAGTCTGATGGTAAGGCCCCACCTCTGTGGCACAACAGTATACAGAAGTACAGAAGTCTCTAACCGCATTTCAAAGTGAGCAGCATTTACCAGATCATCAACAAGCATACAATGGATGACCAATAGGGAGCCATCCTTTGGGCATCAATCAGCCTCCCATATCTCTACCAGATGGAAGTTCCTCCGGTAAAACTATTGGGAGTTTCTTGAACTACGTGATAAAAAAAGATGTTGAATAGTGTAGTTGCCAGAGGACATACCTGTCACACCCCAAGGTGAACAGGAAATGACTCTGACTGACTCCCGGTCACGCAGCTGTACCCGAGCTTATCCACCATCATGAAGGCCCTTAATGATTGTAAGCCGAGAAGTCAGGGACCCCAAAAGCACGAACAACCTCCGTACATACATACAGAACCATAAAAAAATACACAGTTACATCCACAAATACCAACAAGGTAATTATCCGCCTTATAAGCCTTCACATACTTTCGGGGCAAGTGCTGTTCGCGAGTACCTACGAAGGCAGGGAGTGCGGTAGGCGGTCAGTAGTACCACGCCCGACCGCCTTTGTCTTCCCAACGGAAATGTTTACACACTGCACCCGGGCACTTATTTGAGGCTAGGGGAAGCCCACGACAAGTTCAGATAATCGTCACCAATGTTGGCCGTGAGCGGGAATCGAACTCGGGTGGGCAGGGGGGGGGGGTTCGTAGCTCAGTGCGCTAACCACTGCGCCACCGCTATTTGCCCCCCCCACACACAAAGACACCAAGTTATAGCATTAGAGCAGACGATTGGGGCTAGTGCTGTTTGGGAGCAGTCATCATCACAAGCCTCCCAACACGCGCGCGCTTGCAACGTTAGAGGGCAGACGCCGTCCTCCACCCTCCCTCGCCCCGTGAGTTCCCCCCCCACCACTCCCCCACCACCATCCCCCCCACCACCCCCCCACCACCACCCCCCCCACCACCAGCCCCCCCACCACCCCGCCACCCCCACCACCCCCCTCACAACACCCCCCCCCCACCCCCCCCCCACCACCCCCACCACCACCACCCCCCCCACCACCACCCCCCCCACCACCACCACCCCCGTGCGCGCCGCGTCACGTCCACGGTCGCGTTCCGGCTCCGCGGCTCCGGCTCCGGCGCGCCGCGCTCCGCTCCGCGCCTTCCGTGGCGCCGCGCTCTTCCCTCCGCGCAAACCAATCGCCATTGCTCGTCGTTGTTTATGAGCCCCGCGCTGAAGGCGAAGTTGACGCCGCTCGCGGGCACGCCGGAGTCGGTCTGGCCCAGCGCGCTACCCCCCTCTCCTCCTCCTCCTCCTCTCCCCACCGCTATCATCATCTTCTTCTGCCTTCGACGTCGTTATCATCATCATCATCAGCAGCATCGCCCGTCGAGAAGAATTACCCCAGCGTCCACGGGATCTGTAATCATCATTCGTGAGCCGCAACGGTGAAGAGACACTCGGCTGCCGGGAGGTGGAGGCCACGACTTGTGGGGGGGGGGGGGGTTGTTCATCATCATCATCGGAAGGTCTTCCTCCTCCTCTTTCATTCTTCTTATCTTCTCACCTCATTTCCCCGCTGCTTCATCTTCTTGTTCCTTCATCGTGACCGCGGCCGTAACCGCGATTGTGACCGCAAGGGAAGGCCCGATTCAGCTCCCGGGTGAAAACTCGGAGCAGCCGCTGTGGATTTAAATTTTTATTTTTTTCGTAGGTTGTGGTTGGCGGTGGCTGTGGTCGTGGTCTTGGTTGGTCTCTGCAGTGCTACAGCCTCTGGTTCGGCCATTTGGTCACACGCAGCCCCCAGGCGAGCGGCGTGCGTGTTGCACAGGGGGACACTCATCGACACTCGAGCAAGCCTTGAACGGAGGAAGGATATCGCACCAGCGCTGAGGTCGTGGTGAAGTGTGAAGTAGTCCATCGCGATGGAGTTACTGCTACTACTACGACTCTAGGACTGGTGGGTGGGTGGTGGTGGTGGAGAGAGAGAGATACTCGGTTCGTTCATCTGCCTCGCCTGGACGTACAACGCGGGTCTTTTGACACGAGGAGCCTTCGTGAAGGTGAACGAGCGTGGGACACGTCTGTGTGTGCACATTGCCAAGGAGGAGGAGGAGGAGGTTCGTTACGAGCCCCCCTGCCATTTGAAGTAGAAGTGATTCAGGGAGGACCCCCCCCCCCCCCCCCCATTGCCTAAGAGAGTCAGGAGGGGGGCAACGGACGACACCAGCAGCAGGAGGAGGCCGCGGTGGTGGCGGTGGCGGCGGCGGCTCTGCTGTGGCTGGAACACGGTGGAGTGATTGAGGAGGGGGGCCCCATCGGTGGAGACATCATCGACAACAGCTACACCGCTACACCGAGCTTTCCTCGTCGTCGTGGGCCTGCGCACGGAGGGCTGTGGGAGCCTCCTCGGCTGGATGCGAGCATGAAGCCCGGCACACAGGGCCGCTGCATCGTGGCCGCCTTCACCGTGGCGTGGCTGCTCGCGGTGCTGGCCGTATCACCCACCTCGGCCATCAGTGAGTAACGGCGTGGGGGGCCCAGTGTGGGGGGGAGGGAGATGGGAGCCGGAGATTGGTTGGTCTGTCAGTGGCGCGAACACGCGTTGTTGTTGTTAGCCTCCACGTACACGCGAGTGATTGTGTGTGTGTGGCCTCGCCGCATCACACACACACGCTTCGTATGTGTGGCCTTTGCCCCATGAACCCACCTCGGCCATCAGTGAGTAATTACTAATTCGGAATTCAGAGAGAGCTAACCGGATGGAGGTGGAGATTGGTGGTGTCACACGTGTTTGAGGAGCCCCTAGGCACACGCGAGAGGGCTGGCTGTGTGTGTGTTCTGACCGCATCAACCCACCTAGGTCTCATCGGTGACTAATGCGATCACTAATTAGGGATGCAAGGACGGGGAGAGAAGGATGGAGGTGGGGATTAAAGGTATCCCGTGCACACGAACAGTGTTGTTGCCGTGCTCCGCATGAGCGCGAGAGTGCTGCGTCAGTGTGTGCGCACGTCTTGGTCGCGTGTGATCCAGCGCTTTGGAGGAAAAGGTTGATGGATCACGTCGAGATTTGTGAGCTTCCCAAACCATCCTCGCTGCCAGTTGGCCAGGGATGGCAGTGCAGCTCAGTGAGTTCGTGAACCCGTCTGTGTAAACCTTTACACGCCCACGATTGAGGATTTGATTTTAAAAAAAAACAGCAATGAATTGTAATGTTCAGTATAGTAATTGACTCCCTTATGCATGCTAGACACGACAGTATTAACAAGGCATTGGCCAAATATCCCAAATGCAGGGCCTGCCTGAAAAACACTCTTTAGTGTATCCAGGTGAGAATGCATTGAGCCTTACAAGTCTAGTTTTCAAGAGTGGCCTGGGTCAACAGTTCACAAATCTTTGAGGCTCATTTTATCCTGGATAAGTGAGTGATATTCCTGATGTAATTTATATATTTTTAAAATATATTATTGTGGGGTGGAGCGGTAGTGCAGTAGTTGATGCACTTCACTTTACATTCCGGGCCATGACTAATCTCAGTGGTGAGGGATATCTGAACCGGACCTGGGTCCCAAACCCCCCACACCCTTCAATTCACCAAAGCTCACCGATCATCATGGTAAAGTGTGGTCAGGCAAACCCCGTGACTGACACGGTGTGGCAAGGCTTCTATCCAGCAGTCGATTGACAAGCCTGCCCATTACGTCTGATAGGAATATAAGATCGTTGTTTTGTGTCTTGAATTTCCATACCAACGTATGGAAATTCAAGACACTACCAGTTAAGTGTTACACACTCGGCCATATCCGTCCACATGTTTATAACAGTTCGTACACAGCGTTACCTAAATATGTTGCAACACAGTTTTACCATCTCAGTATGACTTGCCCAATCTTTTCCAGGCATATTAGAATGTATCCATTCGGTCACTTTGGGAGGACCATTGTCTTAAACGTCGGTCCATCCAGACAGTGGTGGTCTAGTGTGGATGGTGAAGTGTTCTGGAAACCTGATGCGGGTAGGGCTCGTTTGAGCCGTTTGGATGGAATTCCTTAGTTGCTGCTGCTGTTGGATTTCATCATTATTCATTGACTAATGTCATTTACGCAGGTAAGAGACCTTAGATATTGGCTCCTTATATATACCATATATAGTTGCGCTGAAAAGAGGTGTGAGGGCCTGTTGAAATGCTTGTTAGCCTTCTGCAGCAAGGATATTAACCACCGATGCTCAAGCTTTACGGCGAAGTGGCAGCCAAGGAATGAAACGCACCTAAGAAGGACACCCACCACGGAGAGATGGAACGATGGAATCGGCCATTGTACAGAGCGCTATATAGGTCGTTGCGTTATACGACCGTGAGAGATTGTGACAGCTTTGGGAGGCCGTCATCCAGCAGTGGAATTATCAATACTTGCTGTTGATTCATTGAGCAGAGGGAGAGGCTGACTTTGACTCGTTGCTTTACTGCCCTTGTTAAGTCATCGTGCCCTTTAGGGGGACGAACGTGAAGCCCAACAGGTGTGGCCAAGGAGTCGAGATAAGATTTCTGTTGCTTCCTGCTTGTTATTCTGTTAAGGACGGGTTATGCAACTTTGTTTATTGAGGGGTTAAGGGAGGAAAAAGGGAATTGAAATGGGTGAGTGCGTGTACAGGAAGTGGGTGTGTGTGCACCCCTGTCACGGTGACATGTAAGACTCGCATCGGGCAGACTCACCAGCAAGCCCTGCAGGTGAAATAGCTCGCCACTCTGATTGATTTCATCATGAAAGTGGGAGGGAGGAGAGCTGTGTGGCTCAGGACACTCTTTCAATCCCAGTCAAACAATTACCCGCACGTGATATGACCACGGCCATTCACAATTAGGCTGGGTATGATGCTTGTGATGACGCTTGCCTACCCCTACCCAACCCCCTAACTGAAATACAAAGTAAAGTTTTTATTTTTATAATAGCAAATGTGTTTTTCCTTCAGCGAGGGTGCCCTTGGTTAAAGGAAGTGTCCGTGTATTATTGTGCTTGTTTACAGTAGTTATTCCTTTTAGTTGTCTCGTGTGTGATTGATGTTTGGCACGCCCCTTTGTTTAAGGGGCCCACCGTGGCGAGGAAATGTTAACTACCTCGCTTCCTTTGCAGGAGGTCGGGGGTTCGAGCCCGACCCTGATGCCTGCTGTATATTTGGAGTTTGCGTATTCTCCCCATGGTTGCGTGGATTTTTTATATGTTGCTATAAATGTCCAAATGATGAGCCACTTTGTTGAGCTATCATTTGTGGGCAGTTCGCTTTTGAACAATAAGTTAATACCTCGGTGGGCTTTGTCTGGTAGGATGGGGTTTAGTTTTATTTGTATGTGTTTGGATGATTGTTTACCTTTCTTGTACCTTGCACTCCTATCGTGTTTTTGTTTTGTTTGTTGTAACGTTCTTACCCCGTGCCCCTACTGGACATCTGTGAAAATAGTTTTATACATCATCAGATTCCTCCAGTATAAATAAACAAAATATTCTGATTCAGTTTGGCCCCACGTGCATGGTAGATTTTTCAAGAACTGCATTGAGTTCCTGCCCTTGGATCGCAGGCGCAGTAGATCACGACAGCGATCCGTCGGGTTTTTTAGGCAAGGGTTGGTGGATCACGGTGAGATTTACGAGAGCCACCAAAGGTGTTTGGGCTCTCGCCAAATGGCAAGGAAATGGAAAGTACAGCAAGTGGGGTTGTGAACCCCATCCGAACTGACCTGTAGTGAATGTTATTGCTTCATATGCATGGCAGGTTTTCTCCAGGCACCCTGGTTTCCTACGATATGCAAAACTTTATTTAGAAAGGAATTGGCCAAAATCCCAAAGCAGGACAAGCCTAAATACAGTTTTGAGCCTTAGAGAGACTTTCCTGTGTAAATACATTACATAATCGTTAGTTTTTTTATATACACATTGAAGCCCTTTTCACTGAGCAGTGCTCGGCCAATTGAATTTCCTTTATTATTTTTTGATGTTAATGGTAATAACGATGATGATGATGATCAAAACGAAGACGGTAGTTTAGGCGATGTTATTTTTCCACTCCGCAGTCGCTTATCAAGTTTACATCTCTTTGACGGCGAGAGTCCAGGTCACGTGACTTGTCGGGTGATTTGTGTTCGCTAAGCGAGCACACACACACACCCTCCTTACCAAAGTCAAAGATCCCCCCCGTGTGTTTAGCCTCAGCAGATTGTTTTGGGGCAAGTGCTGTTAGCGAGCACCCTATTGAAGGTCAACACGGCACACGAGGGGCTCGGTGGCCAGCGCCCGCCCCCGGTCGCTTTTGTCTTCCCGCTGCTAATGTTTACACATCGCACCAGGTACTTATGTAAGGCAGAGTCGACTTAGGGGAGGCGCTAGACCGGTTTTTACATTCGTCACTGATGTCGGATGTGAGCGAGAATCGAACTCGGGTCGCCAGGTTCGTAGCGCAGTGTGCAAACAACGGCACCACGACCATTCCCCTTCCTTATCCCCCATACACACACCCGACTTACCCACACACACTGCTTTAAGCAAGCGCCTATAAAGGTCGTCACTGCATAAAGGTTGGCAGCGTCAACAACGTGCGCGCCTCACTGCCATTGTTTCTAACACACCGGCTCGTCATTGTAGTCCGAGTCGACCTAGAGGAGAACCCAAGCCACCGACAGGAGCCCCACATTTACACTAAAAGATACGACGATAGTGACCCAAGTTTAGTCGTGTAAACTGTGTAAACACCTAAACCGCGGGGCCAAAGTGCTTGTTAACTCGCACTCTGTTAAGGCCGGAACGGCACCCAAGGGGGAGCGGGGTGGTGTGGTCGACCACAACACCCCCGCCGCCTTTGACCTCCTCCATTGCCCTCGCTCCCTGAACCCACACAGGCCTGGAGACTGCTGGGATGGGTGCTCGCTAATAGCACCCGCCTCAACAGTCCGCTTTTCCCCCTTCCCCGGTTAAGAAACATGCGTTGAGATTATTTATATACAAATTGGCCTCTTATAAGCCACTTCGTTTAGCTATCATCTGTGGCCAGGTCGCTTCTGACAAAAAAAAGCCAATAGCTCGGTAGGCCTTACCTGGTAAAATAAAAATAGATAATGTTTTCGTGATTTGTTTACCTTTGCTATACTTTCCACTCTTATCGTTTTTTCGTATTGTTTGTTGTCATAACTTTGTGACCCGCCCCTACTGAAGACCTGTGAAAAGAGCTTCATTGCTTTTTGGGATTCCTCCTGCAGTCTAAATAAATATTCTGATTTTGGAAAGAGCTATTGTAAGGCATTTCGTAATGTCAGTGGACGCAAATACACGGGGGCATGGGACTAACAATGCAAGTGTCAGTGCTGTGAGCCTTTTCATGTGGGCCATACACGTGGATTGTATTTATGTACACGGTGCTTGTACACAGCCAGGCAGACAGTTTAGTTTACAGCTCTTTGTCAATCCACTGCTGGATGAAGGCTGCTCCCTGCCCACGCCCTGATGTATCAGTCATGGGGGTTGTTTCA